GCTAAGTGCATCCCCCTTTGGGAGCTGTCCTTATCAAAAGAAAACATCTTGCATGAATGGTTTCTCTGTGGCTGCACCACAGAGATGAACAGAGAAATGGGGCCTCATTTGGGAAGGCTCAGAACACTTAATTCTGCCTTATTATTAAGCCTCACCGCTACACATTTAATGTGGCCAGCAGCTATATCACCCTGCAACTCTCAACTGGCTACCCACTAAAGCTAAGCAGAGTTGAGCCTGGTCAGTACCTGGATAAGAGACCTCCTGGTTAAACCGAGGTCCTGACTCTCAGTGGTCGTTAAAGATCCCTGGGCATTTCTTGATAAGAATAGGGAGTTATCCTGGTGTCTGAGCCAAATTTTCCCCCTTGGCCTTTACTGTGGCATCCAAATTGTCCCCATGTATGACTGGCTTGCACTTACCCTGTGCTGGACTGATGCCCCATCTAGGGTGTACCCTGCTTTGCACTCGTTGCTTGCCGGGTAGGCTCCAGCTGCCTGCGACACCGTATGGTATAAAGTGGTTTGGGAAATGACATGACATTTAATGTGTACAAAAGCTATTTATATATAATGATTATAGAAATATAGAAAATTCTTTATCCCAGAGAGTGTGCATCCTGTTGTGTTCTGAAGTGAAGACATTGACAACTGTCAGCACTGTTACCTGCCAAAAAGAGCCATGTCTCTCAATATCAATGTGACTTTATTTTTGAACCACTAAAGTAAGAATAACAGTAACACTTGCTTTTAGTATTACTAATATAACTTTAATTTAATAATCAATATTATTGCTGTTATTGAGAGAGAACTTTGCTCTAGTTCATATATAATGAATCACAATACATTCCATTTCTTAATTTGAGAAAGGTTAAATAAGCTCCTATTGGACTGACTTGCACGATTTAGTAGTTTACCCTGAATGTCAGATACAAAGAGTTACTAGTGTCTACATTCTTTCCTGGAAATCAAAAGTATTAAGGATAGTTGGTTGTTGATCCTATACAGTAAAGGGTACATCCTGTTTCCTTGTATGTGTGAGAAAGATTTACTGTTAATGATCAGAGTGTATAACATTGAATATACAAATATTCAGTTCAGTAGATAGAAAGGATGACATTTTACACTCAGATATTCCAGAGAGTGTTGAGAGCAAAATCGCTTCAGAATTAACGCCAGGAGTTGTTTATCATAAGACATACATCACTACCTTTTTTCTTACCAGCTGATCCAGACCAATCTATATCTGGTGGATAATCTGTCAAGCTGAACGGCTGAGTCAGGTGTATTGGAGTTCGGTCATGTCTCAGTTTTTGATCATATAGAACACTGTTCAACAATAGCTGCTCACAGTAGCAATATAACAATGTAGTATTAGGGTATAGAGTCCTACTACTTCTTCAGAAGCTTAACAAACATGTGGGCCTCTTTGAAAAAAGGAAATGACAGAGTCCTTTCACCTAACCCCTCATTATTAGGATACTCAACACTGTGATCTGCTTCCATCACTGTAAATACATCCTCTTAGCAAAGCTGAAACTGTGAATGAAAAGTTTACAGCTGTGTAAAAAATGGTCAATGACCTTTTTAGCCCTTTCTCTTGTTTTTTGGTTCCTTTATCATTCAGGAAGTCAGAAGGATGCCAACTAATAAATGTGAATTATAGCCCTAACTCTGTATTTAATGTTATGGATTATTTTAGGAGCTACAATTATGGTGTCACGAGATGTGACACCACAGCTCACATTTGTAAAATCAAAATTGTTGCTTGTTAGGCTAAGAGGACTATTCATCCTAATTGTGGAAATGCAATTCCTGGTCTTTTAAATTTGACCACGAAGAGAGAAAAAGATTCTGACTGACCTGTGAAAGAAATTATTTTCAATTTTTTAACAAATATTTCAGGACACCACTGATTTTATTGCTTTTAACTTTGTAGTTTTTCAATTAAAAAAAAACACGATGCCTTCTCCATCATGTAGGGTTTACCCAGCACCACCATTCTCACCCCAGTACACTAGATCCATTTCTGCATTTGTGCTTTTACCATAAGGAGGAGGAGGCTAATTTTGAATAAGATTAAATTAAAATGTCTTTTGGATATTACAGAAGAGAAGATAATAATAAGAATGATAATTTCACTAATAAATCCCCAGAGACTCATTTTGTATAGATTCCTAATTGGAAGAGAGAGGCTTTGAGTGCTTTTTGAAACATTGCATAGTGGAGGATAATTGAAATTTATTTGAAAGTTTTTATTATATTATTTAAAAGATCTTTATTAAATCAATCCACAATTCAGGTAATTGGCAAGCACTGCATTTGTATAGTAGAATGCAGAGTAGAACACCTGCAGATATGCAAGTGTGACTGCTCTAAAGCATAACAAAACCTGCAGTAAGATGTGTAACAGTTCCTGGGTGCTTTGAGCCATACTATGAAGAAGGAAAAAAAAAAGTGATATAATTACTGGTGAACCAATGCCAAACGTTTCAGTCAGACAACTAAAATAGACACATTCTGAAGAATACACTTTCTATGTACCGGTTACCCTTTTTTCCTGTTTTCCATTATTTTTCTATTAAGTAAATGCTCATTCCATGCTTGTCAAAAGAGTGATTTTGTCCCTATAATGGGGACTTAAAGCTTCATTCAGTCTCAAACCTACTAATGTAGTCATCAACACAAGGCTTTGTATGACAGAGACCTTAAAAAAATAAAAAGATGTACAGAAGCAGTGAACTGTAAACAAAATTTTAAAAAGAATAATACAAGAACCAGTGATTGCCATAAACTATATTTCTTCCTTTTTTTAAGTAACAAAATACAATAATAAGAAAAATCAGCTTGTATTTAACATAATTATTAAACATTATCATTATTCATTTACAATATATCTTTACTTGAGTATTAATAAAATGTATTTTAATTCACACTGTAAAATTAAAGAATTAAAATATCAGAAAATAAACTTTTTAATTAGCTTTATTTTTGTAAAAGAAAAACATGTATGATTTGTTTTTGGATTAGAAAACTAAAATATGAATGCATGAGTTAGGGTTAGGGTGACAGTTAATGACAGGATGACAGTGAGATTAAAATTGAGAATGATTTTCCATAACAGTAAAAAGCTTTTGAATTTCCATATTTTTTCTAGCCGCTTGGATGCAAATCTAATTTCTGAGGTACCAGAGCAGACATTCACAGGGCTGCAGTCACTCCGGCACCTATGGCTAGATGACAATGAACTGACAGAGATCCCTGTGGGTGCCCTCAATAGTCTTCCTGCCCTGCAGGCCATGACTCTGGCACTGAACCGCATTAGCCACATTCCGGATGGAGCCTTCCGTAACCTGTCCAACCTTGTAGTGCTGTAAGTATTGACTCTTCATCAGGTGGATCCAAATGCTGTACAATACTGTACAATATAAGGCAGCATACAGTCAATACCCAGGTACACAGTGTAGTGAATCTACAGTAGTAGATATGCAAATATTTCTCATGGAAAGTCATTGTGTCTTTATAAGTGACTTTCAATTAGAATTCGCAGAGACCTAGAAATATGTACATTTGTAATTAAGCATATAACTATTCCAGCTTAAGTCATACAGTTTAGCTAGATTCAAAACCAAAGGGCATTCTGTGTTTCCTAGGTCAAAGCTTATATTTGTAAAATAAACATAAATGAGTCACTCTGTTTCTATGTTCTAAATTTAAATTGCTCAAAATAATCACATTTATATAGTGCCTTTTTAAAAGTATTTTCTCAAAGCACTTTACTTAAAAGTAAAACAAATACACAGTTAAAACAAATATATAATATAAGATCACTTTATTGGCCATACATAATTCCTTGCATTGGGAATTTGTTTTTCACATACCCCAACTTGCTTTCTATGAAACACACAGACAGAAGCTTGGGGTCAGAGCACAGGGTCAGACATTCACCCCTGGAGCAGTTGGGGTTAAAGGTTTTGCTCAGGGGCCCAACGGAGTAAGATTCCACTGCCGGTTTACAAACTGGTAACCTTCCAGCCACAGGTGCAGATCCTTAGCCACAGGGCCACCACACTGCCACATTTTAACATTCTTTTCAGCTTGGTGGACAAACAGAGCAAAATCAGACAAAAGAAGTCTGGGTGGGGAGTAGGAAGATAAGTCGGATAGGTACTGAAGTATTAAGCCTTGTAGAGGCATAAAGGTGAGCATGAGGATTTTCAACATGAAACCTGATAGGAAACCCGTGCAAAACTCCAGCCATAAAAATTGTTGTCTGCTCATTAATCAAAGGTTTCTGAAAGAAGGTTGATGATGTAGATAAAGGAAAATATGCAGTAAACAGATTTTTCATCTGGTTGCAAGAAATAACTACAGTATAAGTTTTGAATCTAAACAAGCTGAAGATCCATCCATTTCTTTTCTATTAAATTTTCTTATCCAGCAACAGGTCACAGGGAGAGTCGAAGCCTAACCCCGCAAGCAACGGGTATAAGGTGGCATTAATCCTGGACAGAATGCCAGTCCGTCACAGTACACAAACAGAAATAAACACCCACATACTCACACCAGTGCCAAGTTTTTTTTTACAGAAGCTAATTTAGCTACCAGTATGTCTTGGACTGTGTGAGGAAATTGGTACAAACCCACTCAAACAAAAGGAGAGGTTACAAACTCCATACAGATATCACCCTAGGAATTGCCACTGTGCTTCTCCAACTCTGAACATCAAAAAGTAAAAAAAAAGGGCTAAAAGTGACAGTATATAGAACAGGAACATTGGAACACTTCAGTTTTCAGTCAGTTCAGCTGAAGTTCTTTTATTTATTATTAATTGATTAATTTATATATGTGTATATTATTGCTATAATTTAGGAGGAATTTACTGGTCTACAGAGATCTGCATGGAGTACTAACACACAGAAGACATGTTGGCTGAATGGATTAATCATTTCCTTTTTTAAATTATATAATGTTTAATGTTAGCATGCCCAAAGGGGTTGGGCAATCAGTTGACCTTGGGCCCGTAGAGGTTTTTTCTCTTCTTACTAAGGAGTTTTTGGTTCTTCTCCTTTGTTGTCTTCTGGTCTTCTGTTCTGTATTGACAAAATGTATTGTTAAGCTCCTTGGGGCAACCTTGTTGTGAAAGGCGCTTTATAAAAATAAATTGAATTGTATATTAAACAATATTAACCAAGAGACATACAGTAGAATGAACTAAAAGGTCAGCTTTTATTCTGCTCCTTAATTTAGAAAACACTGCAACAGTTTTGGCAAGATGAAGAAGTTAATGAAGTGTAATGGAGCAGCTGTTGCTCTTAACAGGCTTTGTCATTTCATGTTACAGAATTGTGGCTTTAAGGTTGAGGTTAGAGCCATTTTAAGTGAAGTATGTGCAGATATTTGCATGCAGGTTAAGTGCACGCATTCACACAATGGTACAATGATGCAATAAAATTTCTCATCCTCAGTTATGGCAGACATGATGTTGACCAGCATGTTTTGTAAGTCACTTTAACTTGCCAGGTTTTTAAGAGTAAGTAACGTTTTTCTTTTACAGTCATCTTCATAACAACAGAATCCAGGCTCTAGGAGAGAACTGCTTTCAAGGGCTGCACAGCTTAGAGACCCTGTGAGTATCCCCAGATTTTAGTAATGCTGATTCTAACAAGGTCAGATCCCTTTTTGGCCATAGCAGAAGCAGCATATGTGTACTTTCATTCAGGCTGTTTTATCCAGTTCAGAAAAAAAAATAGTTACAAATATTTGGCAGTGTAATGGCATTTTATTGAATAGTAAAGTTAATGCAGAGGTCCAACAACACAGCTGTAAAGGAAACTATATATAGGTTTTGGAAAGAAATAGTGTTGAATAGCCAAAGGAATTATTCTGAATCAATCAATCAAAGCAAAATAACTTTTTTCCCCATATTTTCAATATCTTACTCTTTTACTCCACTGTAGAACAGATCTTAAGTAAAATAAATAATTTAATGTATGTTGGATAATCTTTTGCACTTATAATGTGCAATGTACACTTTCTTTTTTTAATTTTAGACTAACAATTATACAGAGGGACATTTGAAACACAGCAAATGCAAGTTTCTAGCAGGTTTTTAAGGCCTTCCTTTTTTAGTTTTTCTAATACTCCATTTTGCTTTGGTCACACTATTAAAGTAAATTAAAGCAACAGAAGAGCTGTTTTCCATGAGGGAATTTGGTAGTTTAATAAATGGTTTGTCTCATCAGAAGCTCAACAATTTGCTGACACATGCTTGCTACTTACATATACTATACATTTCAGCAAGGCTATCCAGATGTTTTGTGGGAACAATATTCTGTTGAAATATGAAAGGTATACATATATATCACGAGTTTGCTTATGAATAAAAATATTAAAAGAAAAAAAAATTAAACTTACAGAAGTTAAGTAAAACTTTACTCTTCAATAAAGGCATAGGAATGCTTTGAAACATTTTAATGTAAAATTGCCATATCACCCTGCAACTCACAACTGGCAACCCACTGAAGCTAAGCAGGTGTGAGCCTGGTCAGTAGCTGGATGGGAGACCTTCTGGGAAAAACTAAGGTTGCTGCTGGAAGAAGCATGAGTGGGGCTAATAAGGGGTGCTCACCCTGTGGTTCACGTGGGTCCTAATGCCCCAGTATAGTGATGGGGACACTATACTGTAAACAGGTGCTGTCCTTCGGATGAGATGTAAAGCTGAGGTCCTGACTCTCTATGGTCATTAAAAATCCCAGGGCATTTCTTGAAAAGAGTATGGGTGTAACCCTGGCATCCTGGCCAAATTTCCCATTGGCCCTTACCAATCATGGCCTCCTAATAATCCCCATCTATGAATTGGCTTCATCACTCTGCTTTCCTCCCCACTGATAGCTGATGAGTGGTAAGTGTTGTGGTGCACTATGGCTGCCGTCGCATCATCTAAGTGGATGCTGGACATTGGTGGTGGTGGAGGGGAGTCCCCATTACCTGTAAAGCGCTTTGAGTGGAGTGTTCAGAAAAGCGCTATATAAGTGTAAGCAATTATTATCATGAATAGTCTTACAGTAACAATCTAAAATTACTTAATCTTTTAGGGAAGAATATGAGAGGACTTTAATGCAGTGGACATCTTCATAATAAACCATGATACATGAACCAGAGAACATGTGGTTCATGTATCATGAAATGAATTTAAAACTGAAATGGATTTAAAACTGAGAATAGAAAGCACTTCTCTACATAAAGGGTAGTGGAAGTGTGGAACATGTTGCTCAGCCATGTTGTTGAAGCTCTTACTTGCTTTGGTATTCTTTTATTTCTCTCTTGGCCTACCTCATTTTTCCTTCTATTTTTCCTGTTTGTTATTTAGTAGTAATATAGTGTCTTGAAAAAGTATGCACACGTACAGTGGTTTGAAAAAGTGTTTGCCTCCTTCCTTATTTCTTATTTTTTTGCATGTTTGTCACACTGAAATGTTTCAGAT